CAATTATTTTTTACATAAATGTCCTACAACTTTTAACATCAAATACAGACCTGGCTTACTAATATTTATTCTGGTACCTAGCAAACTCTGAAAGTTCAACTGCAAAGAAATATGACAGCACTAAATGAAACCATCAAAGTATCTTAATCTCACTGCTGTATTTTACTCTTTTTTTTTATTTCATTACTGTAGGTCTGCTTTTATAACATGGATATTTAATCAATATTGAAGATGAATGAATCTGGAAGTATCTAAATCTACATCCTGTAAAAGTTTTCCCTGCGCTCAACTAATTAGGCACTACACCAATAAAGCATAAGGGGGAGTTTTTTTTTTCCTCAGCACTAGCTGGAGGTGAGTGGTCAGCTTCACGCCCCGGCCACTTTACCCCTGGGGAAAGAGCCCCTGGTATCCACTAGACAGGACGCTGGGTGGGCCCTGGAGACAGTCTGGAAACTGGAGGGAAGAGAAAATTCTTGACCCTACCAGGACTTGAAATTTGATCCCTTGGTCATCCAGCCCTAAGTTGCTATACCAATTATGCTATCCCAGCTCCTATCTACATCCTGTATTATGCATATATAGTTGAAAGGAATGAAAATTTTCAGAGGAAACAAGAAGCCATTTTTATCAACTCTCCATGCCAGAGTTCTTATTGCAAGGCTATTTTTAAAGATGAGCATTTTTTGTGTCATCACTGTACACAGGATTTGAAACATTATGGTTTGATGCACAAAGTACAACCGTGTCTGCTGCTGTCAAGTTCATCATGAAGAAAAATCAGACACTATTCCTGACAAAAATTTTATAAGATATTGCTGGTTACGTTAATAAGTCAATTGGTTCTGTAATAGCATGACATTTCAGGTATCTTATGTTTACATTAATTTAAAATATGGAAATTGTTAAAATACCTAAGATGTTTCTGAACAAAGTCTTCTTCCAATTTATATACATCTAATACTACATAAGTCTACAACCTGAATTATAAATCTTATTTAAACAAAAAATATGCATAATTTAGGGATTCAGTCCCAGACACGAAGGTAAATATTATAAATTTTCATTACGGGAGCAAATAAATGGCACACATATACAATTCCTATGACATTTTTAGAAATCTATAGTAGTTACTGTTCCACTGTTCTTATGAAATCAAAATTAAACATGCAAGTGAAAATCAAATTAAACTGAACACTTCTTAATTTAAAATATTTTATAAATGAATAATGTATGTTATGTAATTATATGACAGTGGAGTGGATACCTCAGTCAGCAGTGGCATTATTTAGTCTAGTAATACAGGGAGACCATGTGACAGCTTGCAACAAACTGTTCAGCTGTCCAAGTGGAAGAATCAGATGCATGCAGCTCAACAACCATGCAGGAAGCTCTCACACAGTCACACTGTATATTCTATTAGCAGCCACTGAAAACAATCATGAAACTATGAGCACATGTAAGATGACTTGCACAGAATCATCAAAGGTAGCATAACATAAAGTCACCACCTGTAAAACTGAAGAAACAGCAAACAATTACAAAACAGGCTTCAAATTAAATATTTTCCATATTTCCTTAATTATGGTACTTCTTTAAATCAAAGATCTATTATCATACATCTTTAAATGTGAGTGGTACACACTGTCTCTTATTACATAATTTGAAACCTTTTACTTCTATGACAGGACAGGAAACAAAGAGTTCAAAACTACAAAACAGAATTACAAAATTAAAATTCTTCTCTTGAGCAACTTCTTTCAATCTGTTAAATTAATAAGCAAATAATAATCATATAAGAATTCAGATATAAAGCAAGTGTAGAATATCATTAAGATATTGCACAGAGATTGGGAACCACAGCCATTACCTCAAAGTCTGAAATAATTTTCACTTTAATTTGAGAATCTGTAAGACATGGAACTGAAGGTAATGGATTTCAGAAGTCACCTTGCATACTGGGTTATTTCAAAACAGGGGACAGCATTACTTGAAACCATTACAGCTAGAAAGTCCTATGACACTGTTTCACCTCAATATATCACTCACAGCATCATTATGTTAGAAGCCATATTTGATTCAAAAGATCTGATTTTGATATGTGGTAAATTATGAATCAATATTTGAACATATCAGTATACAACTGTCCTCATGCCAGAAGCAAATTTTAAAATATATAAAGCTACATCTTGTCCTACTATGTTCCATGAGGGAGTTGCCTTCATTTCAGAATTTATAAATAGCATGTTTTGTGATGGAAAAACGGCTTTCTCCAAAGTGACATTATGCTCTTTTGCTGCAAGAACAGAGCTGATACAACCCATGTCCTTACATCAATCTGCCAGTTCGTTTTGCAAGTCACTGACAATGTTCATATATTGCACTAAATACAAACTTCTGCAAGGTCCCTTAATTGCAGTCTTAACAAATTTGTCAGAAATAATTAATATTTCAATGGACCCAGTTACACATAGGTCTATAATAATTAAAGGATTTACATTTCATAAGCATCTTCAATTATGCTAATACATCATAGATGTACAAACTCAAAAATAATTTTTCACTGTCACACATAAGGGAAGTCAAAAAGTAAAGTCAATCTTACATTATATAAAAATTTATGTTGGCAGCACTCAAAAAATGAAAGATAAAAAATATATTAATCTTCTCTCATTTGCACCTTTTTTTGAGTAATGATGACACTTGAACATGGATATATCAGTCAGAGAGAATACACTAAAGAAAAACTGTGATTAATGATGTGATTTCTATGATTGAAGTGTGCAACAAAAATGAAATTTATGGAAGAATGACAGTTCAGTATGGCAACAGAGGCTTGAGCCAGAGGAATGTATGAAAACACATAAATGAGAAAGGAGCACTTTTGTTGTATTGTGTGTTCTGAGTGGCAGATCGTTCAAAGCATCAGAATAACAATGAAATCTGCCCTGATTACAGTGCATCTGAAATGAGCATCAGTCACAGACAGAAGAGGTGCATGAATGGCTTAAGTTCCAAACAAAACGTTCTTTATGGAATAAGCAAGCTTCTGGACAGCTGACTAAATGAATGGACAAGCAGAGAGAGTATACAGAAAAACAAATATTTCTATGGGAAAAACTAACTTGAGATTTACAAATACCTGACCATGCAGTGCCAAGACTGCACAAGAATAAGGATGTATATCACCACCCTTTTTGATTTTCACATACTTTCTTGGGTTCAATTTATGTGAAACCTCTGATACAGCAAGCATTTCATTTTATATACATCTATCCACTTCTGTTCACTTTTCATTATACTTCTACCTTGATTCCTTTGAATTTAAATTGAATGTACATGAAATCTCTCTTACACATACATGAGACAGTAAGAAAAAATCTTTCAAAGTACACTCAACTCATTTGAAGAGTTTTCTGAGAGTGCTCAATTTCCTGTACTTTAAACCTGTTCTTCCAATGTTATTAAATATCCATGTAAATATTAAGGAAATAATTTTACCACAGTGATGTACATCATAATTAATCAATGTATAAATTTGTGCCAATTCTTGCAATAAACTTTATATAAAATGAACTTAATATATAAATGCATTCTCTTTTTAAAACCAAACTGTATATAACAGCTACAATATATAAAATTAATTTTTGAAAGTACTAGAAGGAAACAATAAATTACTGTATGTACAAACACTCATATCTCCAAGTCACACACATACATACAAACTATAACATCAGTGCAACCTATAAAGCAGAGCAGATTTTTCATTCTGTGGCAACAGAGTATCATGAACAAAGTCAACCAGACCACAAGAAGTATAACTGTTTTGCACAGTTTCCATATCATGCCAATTAGCAGCAATGTAGTGAAATGGCAATAAAATTGACACTATTGAAGTATAACATTTGTCTCATACTAGAAATCTATAGCAGACAACTGAAGATGGCGAGATTTCATATATACCTTTCAATAAAACGGAAGAGAATAATGTTCAAAACATGACAAATAAAAGCAGGACAGAAGTTGGCCCAGAATGCTTTGTATATGATTGTGACTGAAGAAGGTAAGCTTTCATGAATACCTTTCAATAAAATTGGAAAGTGTTCCTAAAATATAATCACAAAGAAAAGCAGGACAGAAGTTAGCCAAAAATTCTTTGTAACTGTACACAAGTATTTATTTTCATTTCCAATGAGTGATAAATTTCATAGTGGTGAAAATTATACATGCAACCTATGCTAAAGTGCAATGATCAGTGCTAAACAAGGTAATGTGCATTTTGCTAACTACTCCTACATTTACTAATTCTGAACATATAAAACACAGAATTATCTACCTGAAAAGCAATGTGACAAACATCACAGCAACTAGACAATCTGTTGTAAACAAGCCAGCACAAAGATGGACAGAATGCTCAGTGCATTACCAGATTTCCGTGTTGTTACCTGCATTGCTGAGCACACGTGCACGTTCAGTGTCTTGGGGCACAGTTACGGGTCTAGGAGCAGTGGCAGAGAACAAGTTTGGGTCCACTTTTATCTGTGGCCCATAGAACTTGCGCCCAAGAAGATTTGGATTGATCGCTGTCTTGGTTTGGGCTACATCCTCCACTTGACCTGACTCCATTCTGCTGCTGTCACCATCATATTTGACCTTCCAAGAGTCCTTACCATTGTTCCTCTTTGACTGTGGGTTATTCTTGTCATTCCCACAGGTAACAACTTTGTTTTCCTTTACAGAATCAAGGTTTGTATCAGCTTTAAAGATTATGGTCTGAGGGTTACTGTTAATATTTGCTGCAGCAATCTCAATATTGGTCATCTTTCTGGCTTGCATGAGTGGAGAGTTTGCCATCCGGTAACTGTCGCTTCGTTTGATCTTGGTTGGATTGAGGTTGCATGAAGTTTGTTGCTCACTGATACGGTTGTAGAGGGCAGGATTGGTGCGCTGCAAGTACGAGGTGACGAGTTTCGGGTTAGCAGGACAGGGCGGGATCTTACCTTCGTCATCATCGATGGGCGAGGTAACGGAAGAAGCTGATCTTCCCCCTGGTGGACTCAAACATCTTTGATGTGCTGACTGCATGTGAACATAGGCCCCACGGCCCGTTGCTGTGGCTGAAGAAGGTTTCGGGGACAATGGCCGGGAAGCTATTGCTAAAGGTGGAGAAGCTACCCTCATCATTGGTGTAGTTTTACTTCCTGCCTTGATTATAACCTTTCCAAGCTGTGGGGATGTTGGTGATGTTAATTTACCTCGTGCAGGAGAAATCTGTTGTCTTGGTGACAAGGGTCTGCCTCTCTGGGAGATTGGAGAGCTGAGAACATCAGCTGTGCCTACTACTGGGCAAGGTGAAATTCGACCCTGCTGATTTGAAACTGCAACTGGACGGATGTTGGATTTAGGAACTCTGTGTGCTGGAATTGGACTGGCAACTGGTGTTGTAATTCTAGGATCCTTTATATAAGGACCAGGTTCGAAAGTTGTATGTGCTCCTTTGTTCCTTCGAAGGCTGTCAGAAGAGTAAACAACTTTACCCTCTGAATCTAATGTCACTCTTGCTCCCTGACGTTTCTTACGCTCAAGAGAATCTGAAGGTGCAATCAGAACGTTCCCAGATGGTGATGAAGCCCTTGTTGGACCTGGAAGTTCATTTAGTGAAACATATTCCATCTTCTCTGATAGACATGGAGGGCTCCTCATTTGACCAGTATTTGAATAAAGATTTCCAGGTTGACCCTGATAATATATTTCAGCCCTGGTGTTGTTACGAACATCAGCAATGGTAACATAGTCACCAGCATCTACAGGAGGTGATATGTCAGGCTCAGTTGGTGAAATGTCACTTTGTTCTCCTGCTGATAACTTTGACCCCTTTCTAGTACTGCCAGCAGAGGAGAGAACACATTTTACTTTATCTATCATGTTATTGAAAGGCTGGAGGGAGGACCTGAGCATGGGTGCTGTCTTTTGTTGATGAACTTTTGATTTAACATCACTTAAAGCTATTGCTTTTCTTGTTGGACTAGGAGACAAGCCATGGGTTCGAGTCTTCAAAGAAGCAGATCTCTCTTCTCTATAACCTATGGGTGTGGGTGCTCTACATGCGCTGCGACTCCTTATCCTTGAAGGTTCGGTCTCACTTGAATGGTCTGAATCGGTACTAAGTTGTTTTTCAAATTTTCTTGGAAGTGAGTTATAGAATGACGATCTACTTTCTTGTGGTGAGGCCAGTTCAAGATTGATGTGGTGTCTGTTATCTCTTTTTCCTGATAATGAGCAGCTCCTAACATCACCATTCGAACCCAGTGAAGGCTGTATATGAGGACTGTGTTTCCTGCTATAAGAAGGCACAAATTGGCATGTCTCATCATCTGACTGAGGTGGTGTTATGACACACATGGATGGGATTCGACTTGAATTGATTGTTGTCTTAACTCTAATCCTCTCTATTCTATCAACACCTTCCAGATCAGACTCTGAGAACTCATATTCAGAACTCCTTCCAGTAAGAGTTCCAGGTGGGCTGTTAGTAGAATCAACAGGTGAGCTCGATGTGTTATGACCACTATCTGGCGACTCTGATGGAACTTCACTCTGTTGTTTATGAATCACAGCCACCACCATCTGATCGTTCTTCTCCTGTTTCCCTTCCAAAGAACTCTTTCTCTCAGGAACCGCTGGAGCTGGAGTAGCTGACATACTGTTGTCATTACCCACTAGCAATGTGGTGCACACTGTCCCGGCAGAACTTGTCGTTGTACTTGTAGATCCTTTCCCAAAAAGTTCATATTCGTTCTCGGCTGTTAATGTAGCATTACCTCGTCCTGGTGATGTAGAAAGTGCCACAGTAGAATTAAGTGGTGTTTGTGATGACAACGATTCTTCTTCTTTAAGAGTTTTAAGGCCACTGTCCATATGAAAGGAAGTGTAGTAACCCTCAGTATCACAAGAATAGATGGAACTTGTTTCACCATCATCTGGAAAAGGAGACACGAGGTCTGATACAATGTCAGGTGTCAGGGTTCCTTCACTGATAGAAGAAGATGCAGAAGTATTGAGGAATTTTCGGCGGCTGCTAACAGAAGAAGAAGGCGCTTGATGGTGATTTAGGGAATTGCTGGACGTGGCAGCTGAAGAAAGAGTTGTTGTTGATTTTGGCTGGTGTGTTGTGGCAGTATTTTCAGAACCAACTGATGCTCTACCACTTTCTGAACTAGCACTCCAATTTCCAGATGATGAATGAAGAGGATCTTCTTTGCCATTTGTGAATGCACGCCTTCGTACTGAACCTTCACGTAATTTGACAGCCATATTCATGGTCCCAGAAGAAGCAGAGACTGCAATATTTCTTACAGCAGATGACTGCTTCTTTTCAGGTTTTGAATCTCCCTTCTTTCCTTTAGCAGTAACAGTTTCATATATGTTTGTTTCCTCTGGTGAGGCTTTGTTAGTATCTCCACTGACACTACGTATCAATTTCAATTTCACCTTACCCCACTGTTTTAGCGTACTGAAATGGGATTTCTTACTGTCTGATGGTGAGTCATCTTTAGAACGGAGAAGGTCACTGCTTGCACTACGCACCACAGATATGGCATCTGCACTAATATCTGGTACACCTGCACTGCCACCTGGGTTTTCCCTGAAACAAAACACAAGAACTCTGTGCACACTCAGACTAGGATTGCTATTCAAACTAGTTACTGTAAATTCTTCACACATTTAACCAATTGACAGATAAACCAATTTTACTTTATACCTAACTAGGCATTCAGACACTGCAGATTGCTCTGTAAACAAGAATGGATGCCACTTTCAGAACACATCTCAAGATCTGTTGGTGAACAGTGCTGCAGGCAGGAAGAGGATTCAATGAAGAAACATACCCACATAACTACCACATGTGCTATTCATTATCAGAATATGTATAACACTGGGCTAGTGGCCATGCTTCAGAACTTTAACTAATTTCGTTTTAATTTGTATGGTAGGATGAGGCTGAGTCCACTTGGTATGCCAACCACTACTGGGCTAATGTACCAACCTAAGATGATGAAAAGAGTAGAGCATGGACCAGTCAGTGGACTGTGAATAGGCAGGAGAAACCAAAGTACTCACAGAAAACTTGTCCCACTACCATATGATTAACCACAAGTCCCATATGATCTGATCCAGGAATTAACCCAGGCAAATATAGTGGGAACGTGGCTGATCAACCAACCAACCTACTCCATGCAGCAAAGTTGTTGCTGAGAAACTAACAGGCGCTTAACTAGTCAAATTTGTCAATTTTTACTGAATCCAAGGTTTGATTACTGTATTTAGAAGAATCTGCCGCTGAACCTGTTCTGAGCCAGTTGAGTCCAGTCCACATTCTCACAGATAGCAAGGCCTATGGTGTTGTTTAATGAAGTAAACATTAGCTTCCTTAAACCACAGTCCTTCTTACCCTGTGATCGCCTGCTCGAGTTCGCGCTGGTCAGTTCCCGCTATGGTATTCCTCCTTCGACCACGCGGCTTCCTACTTCGGCCACTGCGCCGTCTCACAGTACCATCGGCGTCTATTTGGACATGTATCAGGGAACGCCTGAAGCTGGTCATCCGATCGAACGGGCGTCCTGAGATGTCCACAGCAACAAGTTCGGGGGGGAACCGCAGTGCCACGGTCTGGACTTGCTCCTCAGGCGATGGCAGTCGGTGGTCTGTGCCGGAATCTACATTGTCGTCTTCTAAACCGATCTCAGTTGCTCCGGCGTCTATAGAAGAAGCGATGCGGCTTGTACAATCAGGAGTAACAGTGATGTCACCGAAAGCTTCTTCAGACGTCCAGCGTCGCAGATGGTTAACGGCAGCGGGCTGAAACAAAAGAACGTAAGTAATCGTATCTGAGACAGTGAAGGTAATTCAGTTGCATGGGTTCTGTAAATACTCTGAACAGTATCTTTCGGTCTGTTGACAGAACTAATTATGTATATTCATTAGTCCTTTAAGGTCAAACAATTCTACCTATAACACTCAACACGTTCAATTCATTTTGTTCGAATTTAAAAAATGGCGGACTCAGTCTTACATTTGACTGGAACTTGAGTTCCCTAAGTCCAACGAATAGCAAATTAGGTTGGCCAAATTCAGTGAACTGTTTACATACTGAGACTGTGGGGATCGCTGAACTCAGCTCGACATCGGACCTGAACATGACTTCCGTGATTATCACGATGAGATCGACAAACTACATGAAAATGGGTTAACGTTAACCTCACGCGTATTCGACTATTACTCAAAATTTCCTCAGTTTGAATGGAATTCATGAGAGCCGTGAAGCTTTCTACTTGATATAATTTTACTTCCCACTCCATCTTTTACATTCTAACTGTAATCTCACCTAATGCACACCACCGTTAAATATTCCACGGAACAGTGGAATGCCATGTATTTAGGGTCTCTTGTACCGACTGAGCTGCTCCGGAAAGCAGTATATTAAAAGTTGTTTGAAATAGGGCAAATGGGTATGGGTTGGATACTATTGGCTGAGGATATGTTGCTGTAGCAGGCTCTTGTGAACACGGTAACGAACGTTCGGGTTCCATAACGGAAGTAAAATTTCTTGGTTAGATAAGCAACTGTTAGCTTTGCGAAAATGCCTATAGGATCCTTGGAGACGGACAGATAAGACAGATGACACAATTATGACCAGTTCCTTCGGTACCCTTCTCCTCAGATAATTAATACATTAAGGAGATTACAAAAGAAGTGCTTAGTTGGGCAGAGGGAGACAGGGGAGGCAGGTGCAGACAAACTCGGAGGAAGGATACGCGAGGCTTAAGGCGAAGAAGTTCATGCCCACACTGCAAGAGAGCATGACAGGTCGAAGGTCAGCAGAAAGAGAACACGCCCACTTTGCCCTCATTATGACAGCAACTTATGGGAACTTTAAGTGCCGCGCCATTGCTCTAGCGGTTAGTCGCTGGCTTCTCATCGGGGCGGCCCGAGTTCGTTCCCGGGTCTGGTCAAGTGGGATTTGTGGTGGACAAAGTGGCGCTGGGGCAGGTTTTCTCCGAGTACATCGGTTTCCCCTGCCAATCTTCATTCCACCAACTGCTCCACAATCACCCTCACCTATCATCTGGGGCTGGTACAATAGGCCAGAAGTGTCCGCGGTACAAGGGACTTAGTCCCACCCCACTAGCAATAAAAAAAAAGTATGGGAACTTTCTATACGATGTAAACACCTATCTTCACTGAACGTGCAGAACATTTGCAATGAGGCCTCAGATAGAAGTACAACGGATCAACCTCCTACAATTCTCCCTCGAGCTGTTACGCTCCCCCCTCCAGCGTACTCCCCCATATTCCCCATCTAACCGATCTAACCATACTGCTCAAAACCTTCACCACAGCGCTCTGGGCTATTTGATGCTGGCCTGAGGGGCTCGAGGGGAACACAAGAGGAGGCGGTACCTTCATCCCCGCCATCAGTCGGACTTCTTTCCACCGTCTCAGTGTACCACTTCTCTACCAGGCATATCCTTGAAAGGACAGCACGTGCCTTGCTGTACACCAGGACCTGAGGAGCTCTTAGAGGGATCAGCATCAAGGCAGCAGGAGTCGGTTGCGGGATTAGACCGCAACTGCAGCCAGCACAGATTAACTCTTTAAGCCAGTGATTCCTATATGTACCACCTGCGTTAATATGCTAAAAATCTTAGTCTGGTTACAGAGTGTATTTGTGACCGCCTCTGTGGTCTAGTGGCCAGAGGTCCGGGTTCGATTCCCGGCGCTACCAGATTTTCTGAGTAGTGGGTCTGGAACGGGGTCAACTCAGCCTTGTAAGGACAATTGAGGATCTATTTCAAGGAAATTGCGGCTCCGTTCTAGAAACCGAAATTTACGTCCTTGGGAATTCGTTGAGCTGACCACGTGCCACCCTCTATCCGCTAAAGTTGTTACTAACCTAGTCGACATGCGGCGGTCGCTCGGTCGATATAGTTCGCTTGAGAACTAAAGCCACAGAGTTTTTTTGAGTGTCTTTGTGTGTTTCGTATGTTCTCACTTCAGCTACAGTTTGTCTAAACAAAATTCACTGGCTGATCCTTGCTGCGGAGACGTAATGTTTTTCCTGTGAGGTAGGAACTGAATTTTGTATTATTTAGAAGAAATCCCGTATTTAAATGACTGAATAGGAATTTGCTTCTCCGTATGAAGAGATGTGTTAAGTGAGACTGTTGAGGCAAATGAATCTTAACTTTGTCAACGTTATGAGTGGACTGCAGCTGAATGCTCGACAGCACTTCAGTGCTCACTGAAATCTTAAAAGAAAATAACAACGCAACAAGTTTTTTATTCATTCTCCACGGAGATGCAGTAAAGGCAAGCAGCGTGCAATGCTGGTTCTGTCCAGTTCCAGAATGACCTAAGCATACAAACAAACTCCGTGGTTTTAGTCCGCAAGCGAACTATACCGACCGAGCGAACGCAGTTTGTTGGCGAAGTTAGTGCGAACTTTAGCGGATAGAGAGCGTCGCGTGGTCAGCGCAACGAATTCCCCCCGGCCGTTACTTTCGGTTTTCTAGACGGGGACCGCCATTTCCTTGAAATAGCTCCTCAATTATCGTCACGAGGCTGAGTGGACCCTGTTCCAGACCCACTTCTCATAAAATCTGGTAGCGCCAGGAATCTAACCCGGACCTCTGTCCACTATACCACAGAGGCGGTCGAATGCGCGAAGCAGCCACATGCTAATCCACAGTTCGCAGCTTCAGTTTTAATATAGAGCCAAGTTACACACGCGCGCATACACAGTATTTCCGTCTCGATGTATATGGTGGGGCCATAAACACGATCAACTAATCGAGACAAATAGAAAGCCTATTTCACACTGAGGCGACGGTTCTTGAGAAAAAGTTTCTCAGACTTGAAGGGGAGGACGTGCTTGCCATCTCTCTTCACCGCTGCCTTCGAAACATGAAAATAAATTACGAAATTACATATCAAATCAAGACGAGCATTGTCTGTACCCCCCAAAAATTACTATCTTTCTGCCGTAAAGCGGAGTTCATCTGGGCATTTTCGTTCCTCACTTTTTTTTTCTTTCCCGTTGTCAACCCCTGGCCTGTGTAGTCTTCAGCTTCTTTTGTTACTTGCTTCAGAAAGAACAACAATGAGGTGCTTCTCGCACCCTCTTCACCCTTTTCTTACTACGTCACGTCCTCCGGAACGAATCATTTCATTCTTTTGGGAGAAGACATACTGAATTTAAGAAAATGAATGCATTATTTACAGCAACCTGTTGCCCATTCCTACAACACACATTTCTCAAAGAGCGTATTCGACGTAAGACAGGTAACGTGCACTGGAACCCACAAACTACACTGCATATTAACACTCTGTGCGGATTACTACACACTCTAAGAAAATACAAGAAAGGTAAAAGTTATCTCTAGGCTTAATTAATTAAGCACCCAGCCATGAAGACGTACGGTGGAGTGCACGTATAGCTGCGCCATTCTTAACCTCGGTACTAGATGGGAGTGGTCAGCTTCTAGCCCGTGCCGCTTTACTCCCTGAGAAACAATCCTCAGTACCCACAGTAAACAAGGCTTGGAAGGCCCCAGAGCCGGCGTGGACGTTAAGAAGAGGAAATTATTTGCCCCTGCCTAGCATGTAGCCAGTCCCTATACAAACTGAGTTAACTCAGCTCTTGAAAATACAGGTATTAACACGAATGCAGTATTACAGCCTCTTCTCGCATCGGTTCTTTCAGCAAATGCTTTCAAACACCACGTTCATCGGTTCTTGCGACTGCGATAAGATTTATTCCTTTGTTTATCCTTTCCCGCATTTCCCCTACATTTCCCTACCTTCTAAGCTCGCAAAGCAGAGCCTCGAACAGTACTGAAGTGACAAAGTGGAAGGAGAAAAAAAAAAGAGACCACAGTGAACTGCGTGTGTCTTCTTTCGTTGAGCCGCTACCTGTTGACTCACGAGGGGCGAGAAATGTTTCTCTGCAGCGTCCAGACCGCCTCTGGGGCCTACCCAGCCTCCTATCCAACGGCCGGGGCGTGATGCTGACTACTCAACTCCATCAAGTAACGTCAACAATGGTGGTGCTATACCTGCGCTCCTCCATACGTCTTCACGGCGAGAAACTTCATTAATTAAGCACAAGGACAACTTAATTTTGTTATTCGGTTCATAAACCGTATTAGATGTAAATTAAACTGGGAAGGCATTACCTCATGCTTAAGCGTCAATCCATAAGGACGCATGGAGGGCGTAGCTCTAAACCTCAACGCGCTCGTAACCGTAGTACAGACCGATCTCATTCACGCCACTGTAGATACACCGTCAGATACCCACAAAACAGGAGACTGGTGAGGGGACGAAATTCGAACACCGGCTACTCAAACAGTAAAAGGTAAAGCTATCCCTGTAACAGGCCGTGAAGGCCCATAGGGTTGTGAGACGTTGAGGGTCTCTCATTTTCTCTAGACAGTCGACTCAAAGATGGCGGTGAGGTTACCAGCCCTACGCCCCGGCCGCGCTTTACTCTCCAGGAAAACTATTTAATTAATTCCTGGGACTCATTTCTGTTAGAGGCTGAGTCGACCCTAGGGCCATAGTGCGGCTGGAAGGATTAGGTCAACTGAAAAAAATCCAATGACCTCATCGGGACTTGAACCAGCGACCTTCCGGCTTCTAGCATAGTGCCTCAACCAATTACGCTACAGCGTGCCCCCTCAAACAGTAAACATCTTATTTACTGGCTGAAATATCCCGGCTCCCTATCTTATGAAACTCTCTGAATACAACAGATTCTTTCCTGAGAAGCTAACAGTTGTACAGCACCTCTTGCTCCC